TTAAAGTTAAAGTCTCTAGATAATTGCGAAATAATTAATGTGGTTACTGATCTTCACCAACAGGTGCAAAATTCTCAATGGAAGCGCAGATCCAAACCTCTTCTGCTTTTACCCTACGAACAATTTAAGACGATTCCTTTTTACGTTAGCAAGTCTTTAGGACCATTTTCGCTGGAAATTTGGCTAAGCAGTGTGAATTTATCTCAGGTTGTAAGGCCTTTCATTAACGTACTCGATAAAGCAAAGGTACACTATAGACCTCACGTTCTTAAGAACATTTGTTGTGACTTTATAGAAAATAACTTTTCAAATTTTTACCATATTTTTACGGACGGTTCCAAGCTTAGCGGGTTTTTCGGTGCAGCTTTTTTTGATCCGCAAAGTAACAGTTTCGTTAGGTTAAAAATTAAAACACAAAATATATGCATAATGAATTTAGAATTGATAGCAATCGTAGAGGCTCTTTCGTATATAGATTCGTTTAAAACTGGAAATTACGTTATATTTACAGACTCGAGAAGCTCACTACAGCATTTGTTGCGATGTACGGTATCAGGCTTTCGAGGAGTCCCAATAGCTTATGACATAATAAAATTAATTACAAAGATGCTAAATGAAGATAAACACATTGTCCTTCAATGGGTTCCCTCACACATTGGTTTAGGAGGTAATTCTATAGTAGATTCCTTAGCAAAGCAGTCAACATTTATGGGTATATCAGTTCCTCGTGAACCTTATTTTACTGACTTGTTGCCGTTGATCAGAGAACGCTGCATTAACATGTGGAAAGAGTACTTTGATGAAAGGTCTCGTACTGTTGGTATTTGGTATAAGACAATACAACCATACCCCTCGCACGTTCTTTGGTTTGCGGACTCCGATCTGTCGGGACAGGAAGTTGTCACTGCCCTTAAACTTCGTTCTGGGCATATGCCTCTAAATAGCTTCACATATATGATGAAAAAAAGTTCTTCACCTAACTGTACTATTTGCAATGTTAGGGAAGATGTTTATCACATAATGGTAGAATGCCAAAGAAATAAAGCTGAAAGAGATCGGTTTCAAATGAAACACGGCATATCTCTGCGTTCTGTTGGAGTTTGTAACACCATCTTGTCTATGCCCGTGTCAGACCAAGCGAAACTGTTGTACAAAATTGTTAATTTAGGTTTTAAGAATAGATGTAGTTGATTAGTAGTATCCTATTGTATTAGTAGTTTCCTATGTATTAGTAGTAGTAGAATTGTATTAGTAGTTTCCTATGGGGGTGACATGATCACTTCGTGATCAAATCCTCACCTTTTGGTAAATAAAGAAAAAAAAAAAAAAAAAAAAAAAAGTTAGATCAATGACATAAAAAACAGAATAAAGACTTTTTAGTTGCGCTTCTAATAGCATATTATTTAAACTGGTTGATGAAAAAAACTTCATTAGAAAAACAAAAATTTAAAAAATGACTATTTTTAAAAACAAAATTTTTGTTTCATTTCATTATAGATGCTTTCCATTTCTATTCTGTCACAAAATTTTTTATCGTGAACGTCTTCCACGTGCATAATTATTATTCTGTGAGGTGAAGCATGGCAGTCACGCTAGAGGAATGTACCAGAATCCTAACTTTTTTGGAACTTGGGCGGAGCCAGCGTGAAACAGCCAGAAAATCTTTGTCGACTGTTCGGCGGGTAGTCCAGTGGTACCAAGAGACTAGATCACACCTTAGAAGACCAGGAAATGGCAGACCAAGATGCACAACGGCCAGGGAAGACAGACAACTGGTGTTTACAATGCTCCGAAATCGTTTTCAAACTGCTGTTGGTCTAAAAACTCACTTTATTCGCTTTGGAGGTGGCAATTTAAGCGCTCAAACAGTAAGAAGACGTCTTGCTGAAGCAAATTTGAAACCATTGAGGCCCGCAAATGGCCCCAAACTGGAACGGGGACATCGAATTGCAAGAAGAGATACGTGCGCGAGCACCTAAACTGGACACTAGACGATTGGTCTAAGGTAATGTTCACGGACGAGTCTAAATTCATGCTTTATAAGCATGATGGTAGGCAGTTGGTGTACAGAAGACCAGGGGAGCGCTTCCATCAAGCGCGTGTGGAGGAAAAAGTGGCGTACGGTGGAGGCTCCGTACAAGTTTGGGCTGGGCTTTCTACTGAGGCCCGCACCGAGCTGGTACTCACTCAAAATGGAACTCTAAATGCAGAGAGGTACGTGGAAGAGATCCTCATTGAACATGTAGGTCCTTTCATGGCCAGGATGTACCGGCATGGCATATTAATGCATGATAATGCGCGTCCCCATACCGCCAGAATTGTACATGACTACCTTGAAGAGGTCGGTATCGAACTCATGCAGTGGCCAGCGCGAAGCCCGGACTTAAACCCCATCGAGCACGCCTGGGACGAGCTTCAGAGATGCGTGAAAGGTCGAAACCCCCGACCAATCACGCTTCCCGAGCTCAAACAAGCACTGGTGGAGGAATGGGAAGGTATTCCTCAGCACCGGCTCCGAAATTTGGTGTACAGCATGCCTAATCGCCTGGAAGCTGTCAAAAGAGCTCGTGGAGGCAATACAAGGTATTAAATAAAGAAAGTGATGAAAAACAGCAAAAAAACAATCATAAAAAAATGTAATCTTAAGAAAAATATGACTACTTTAGTTTTTTTTTTAATTTAGAGATAAGTTAAGAGTTAGAGGGTTTAGATTTAAGTTTTTTTTTTTATCTGTATAATTAAATTCTTAATTGAACAGTCTTCGTTTCATTAGGATGGCATACGTAGTTCGGGAGATATTCGGGTTTATGTGACTGACCCGTTATTTTTGAAACCGAGTTTATATCACCAAACCAAGACAAGTAAATCTTAACTAGTCTCATTTATCACTAAAAATTTTTTTAATAAAAAATTTTATTGAGACCAGTTACAGGTGTCCACTGGCGATGGTAATCACTTACCATTACGTGACCCATCTGATCGTTTTCTCCCATTACCGTGAAAAAAAATATATTTTAATAAAATTGGCAGAATTTACAGCAAAGACAAAAAATAAGTTAAATATTACATGATCTGCACAATAAACAACACCATTAGTTTGACATACATCTACAATGAAGGCACTTTATTTTTGGGAGCCCCCATTGAATATCTAAAAACATAAGCAACCTTGCACGTTACATCTTCGCAAGTGTCGTTCTTACCATTAATTCTGTACACCATATTAAATTTTACCGACCTTATTTGCATGTTCTGTGTAAGGCGTACTCGGAAAATGTAAAAGAGAATTTTCGAATGTCTTCTTTCCAACTATGTACCTGCAAAATGCATTTTACATCGAACATTTTATAAGGAAGTCGAAAATTTTTTACTATTAAATGTTCTTTGTTTTAAAAGTGCTATTAAAAATACACCGTCGAATTTAGCTTTTTATTTTCCAGTGAATTTATGCTTACATTGCAATAACTGAAGCTCTTTAATTTTTGAAGTTTTTATTAAATCAGAGTTTTGAACGGTTTATATTGCTGTTTGTTGATTGCTTTGCTATCTCTGTTTAACTTTTATACCAAAGTAACTATTAATGTTTATTACAAGAAAGTGCAGAAATATTGTATTGAAACTAATTGATAGGTTATTGTTAGTCACATAATTAATAAATTGAAATTACGTACTACCCGTATTATTTTAATATTCTTTGTATTCTATAACCGAGTAACATAAGTCATACTGTTAGTAACAATTTGACTTACTATGCAAAACTAAAAAACATATTGGCAGTTATTTATTAGTTGTTTTAACACTTGTTTGCACGCTTACATGCTACCAAAATTTCAAAAACATATTATATCAAGTAAAGTGTTTTTATATTTCTGTATTTATGTAATATATGTGGCACTTTACGGCTTTATATATAACGTTTGAACCAAAGCTCTTTGCAATGTTGTACGTGGGGCATACTGAAAGTCTCTGGATCTGGTCACTTCCAATAAAATAATGAAAAAAACATTATTTATTACTTTGGGACCATGTTACTTTTTAACTTGCGAGACTGTTATTTGTTTTTTCATTGTGACGTCATTTCGAAAATTTTGTGTCGCTATCAAAATGAATTTAACTCGTAAACATTTTCGTTCAATGATTTTTTATAATTTTCGTTGTGGCTTAACTCAACAAGAGAGTTGCCAGAGACTTCAATTGGCATTTGGTGATGAAGCACCATGTCGCAGATCTGTGTATTTGTGATTTGGAGAATGAAAACGTTGGCGTGATCATCAAAGCGTCCTCGAAGTAATGATCTCCTTTACCACAATAACGCATCCTCACATTCCGCTAAGGTAACAGAAGCCTATTTAAAGGCTTCAAATGTAGAACTGATGATGCATCCGCCTAAAAGCTCGGACCTCGCACCCTGCGACTTCTTATTGTTTCCAAAAATTGAAAACTTAGAGGCACACGTTTTACGCGCCCAGAATCGGCGTTCCCTGAAGCCATTAAAGAAGTTCCTACGGTAGACTGGTCCAACTGCTTTGTACAGTAGTTTCAGCAAATGCAAAATTGAAAAACAATAAATGTATCGTTAGTTTTATATCTAGTCTTATTTATCAGAATCCAAAAACTTTTAGTATGCCCTAAGTATATTGCGAGGATCCAAAATAAAATTGGGAGAAAAAACATGAAAATATGTCATTTTTTACGCCGTTTTATTTCTTAGGTAATCGATGGTTTAGATTTTTTTAGTCTATGATTTTTATAAATGTATTTTTTTCTAATAGCGAACAATAAATATGAATAAAAAATATTACTATCAATACTTTCAAGCGATTTTTAAAAATATACTCAAATTTCAAACATTAGTTTAAAATGATTAATTGATTTGCATTCTAAATAATTTTTTCAATCTAATTTTATATCACAGTTCTACATAAAACATTTACGTGCAAAACAACGACGCGTCTATTGATTGCACTTTACTTGTAACTTAAAAATCTCTCTTTTTATAGATCCTATCAAACGTATCTCGGCGGTTCAACGAAGCTACAATTAAGTGTGAAGTGCACAACGCCGTCGGTAAGAGCGCTGATACCAAGACTTTAGAAGTGGCCTGTGAGTACCTCTTAAAAATTATGATCCAGTAGGGTGGCCTCAGGTACCGGAGTATACATATAAATTTCTACTTAACATCTACTTCACTAATTTTAATTTAATATATGACGAATTTTTACCTTTAAAATATAGAGAGTTAGTGGTTTGTACTGTACTTATTAGGTTGCCTATGGCATGCGCTATCAGGTCCGGATGTTTTAATAACAGCAGTGCCCGTATCCCTCCTATTTCAGGCACAGGTTGGCACTCTGTGTGGTGTATCATCCCAAAAAAAACTAAAGAAAATGGTATGCTCTATCAGTGAACTTCAGTAAAGAGGGGTATAGTTCAAACATGTTGACAAAGACAAAGACATTTATTGCAAAAAACTGTGTTACATATATGGATGTTTTGTAGTAGGTAAAGTTTCAACAGCTACCCAATCGGGCATTGCAATTTTAAAGTACACTAATAAATGAAAATGGAGGATTACAATTAATTTGAAAGGCATGCAAATTATTTTGTGAGAAAATACTCTAACAAATTATAGAACACACTCTTGATTAGCCATTTTTTTAGAGCGTACTTGAACATAGATTTATTTAATAAAATGCAAATCAACTAGTAAACACCCGATTCATTGAATTGAGAGAAAATTTAAGCAATTAGGTTCAACGCCGTTAAATCAGTATGTTTTTTCAAAAGTTATTAAAATGGTTTATATTTGAAGTTTTTTAAAATCTCAATACCAAAGCTGCGTGCTTGTTACCATTGATAAATTATTAGTGACAAAAACGTTAATTACACAAGACGGATATATATGTAAAACACAAATAACAAAATTATTCGAATGCTATAAAGTTAACACAATAATAAAAAGAAGAAGATTAGTGTCATTAGAAAAAAATATTTCAAAACAAGTGCATCATTGCATAAATATCTTACTCAGATTCTCTTACAAGTTTTCCTAGTTATCAGTAGTGAAATAACAGCCGAATTTTAAGATTCAATTTCGAATAATGTGAAAAAAATGAATAGTAAAAATCCGGACAAGTGCGTGCCCACTGACCGATTTGTATTACATATAATAAATAGTTCTGAAATCGAATCTCGCAGTTCTTATCCGAAATAAGAGAAATTGTATCTCAATGATTGATTACGTACTTTAATAAAGACAATTTTTTATGATTTTTTACAAATGTATAGTTTTCAGATTTTTTTTAGTGTTATACGAGTAGGTCAACGGGAAGTACCCTATGAATTTTGATTCCCTTGAGAGTATCGAAATATGCGTTTTTTGCAGTATAGACAGCCGTATCTTTTATATAACTCAGTAGTGTAATTGTTTTACAGCTTTAAGGGATCGTAGACCTGAGGATATGGTTTTAATTTTAACCAGATACCTCCACATGTTCCCGAGATAAAGGGTCTTGACAGACATACGGACAACAAAGTGATCCCATAAGGGCTCCGTTCTTTTCCTTTTGATCAGAAAAGCAGAAATAAAGTAAGATTACGTTATTTTATTCTTAAATAACTGGTTTAAATTTTGATTACAGACTTTAAATATCTACTAACCAGTGAGTTAATACGAGTAGCTTTGTATTGCGACAATATCACGCAAATATACATCTTGCCTTTGATGTCATTGCTAACATCGACCATAACTATCAGAGTAATTTGAACCAAAATCGCACACAAAACAAAAACAATCATACATCAAATTTTCCAGAACCTTTTAAAAACGTATTTGTTCCGTCTCCATGGAGCGTCGAATGTAGAGAATGACAATGAAATTCACACAGATAGCTTACAGCAAAAGGTAATCGCTATTTTTTGGGATAGATAATATATAATACTCTCCGGGGATACGAAATGAAATATTGTTTCTCTTTGTTACACAATCACGTATTACCGGTTCGATTGTTTTGTTAGAAACCGTATTTTAAGGGCTATATTTTCGTTTATATATATATATAGAATATCTTACGTGTGTAGCATAGCTTGTGTCTGCCTGTAGGTCATATTTTGACCATTATTCACTAACATTATGGAACTTTAAAAATTCTGTTTTATTTCACAAACCGTATAAATTGAACTGTGATTGTATAGAAAGATATTGTGTAGAAAGTTTTCACATTATTCATAGCTTAATAATACATTTTGTTCATAAATTTTAACTTTCTATACTTCTTTATTACATTATACATATGTTGTTAAAAAATAGTAGCAAAAATTCTTTCGGTGTATTCATATATGATAAAATTGACTTACAAAGGATTGCTGCTATGACAATATTTTGATGTTTACTTTATTGTTTTCGAAAAGTATCAAACGAGCAAACGGGTTATTTGATGATCCCTCAACTTACAATCTTGATTACTCGGTGGAAAGCAACGAAAAACTTGTTTCACAATGGTGTGCTGTGATGCCGTGGTATCACCCCAATCGAGCAGGCCTATACTGCAAAGGATTACTTGCTCAATTGATGATTTAACATCAATGCGCGCTATTTATACGTATCACCATTCCATTCCTAAGATAAAATAAATTCGATCAATAGAAGAAGGATCAAAGAAGATCAGGAGATGAAAATAACTAAAACATGGTATGGTAAAAGTCTCAAGTTATGGTCTGAAAGTGATGATAATAATAAGGTAAGGCTGTTATCTCAATCTTTATATTAGAAGAGAATAACTACCATTCAATCAGTCAGTCAGTTTGAACATTTCAAATATGATTATAACGAACTATATGGAGGTGTTTTTTATAAACAGCATTATACTAAGAATTATGGATTGGATAACAATTAAAGTATTCCTATTATTCTCAGATACTTTTATAGACTGGATGTCATCATCATCATCATCAATAGCTTTTAGTAGTCTACTGCTTGACTTAGTCTTCTTAGAAAGAAGTTTTAGCCTACTATAGCACGCTGGCCAGATGGGTTGGTTTTCCTTCTCTTTGCAGCGCTGTTGTCCTTCGTAGTTTTCTCCCTTAGTCCCCACCTCACCCACGGGATGAGCAGGGGTGGTAACACTCCGTATTCTTAATCCGTCACCACTCCGATAACTTGATATACTTTGCCTTTAACTATAGTATGATTGTAAAGAATCTGTGTGCGATCAGCCCTTAAAACTTTGTCAGTGTTTTAAAACAAAATGGGTCTTTAAAACTCCCATGCCTTTAAGAGCTACTACAAAACGAAAATCGCTTTTAAAAGACCGATAAGCATTCTCTGTGTTCATGTACTACAGCTAAATAAAAATCCGCAGTTCAAGAAACCATTGTGAGCTATGACTGTACAATAATTCTTGGACTCAATTCGGTTCCGGATAAGAATTGTAAAAATTATCCTTAATACCGCATTATTTAACTTTGAAGTGCCCTTAATGTCGCAGAATACACAATTATAGTCGTCCGTTCACAATTATGAACCTTTCGGGTAATTCTTCACGTTGAATAGAACCCCGCCCATTGTACTATAATTGGGACTATTTAATTGCTGTACTTATATACTACTGAGTCATGTAGCGGATTCTTGGAAAGTAAAATAAATGGCTTGTTAGTTTATATATTTTTTTACTTGTTTGTTTAGTTAATACAAATATAAATCATATACATACAGACGCAACATGAACTCCTTGGAGTTTTACCGTACATCAATGTCGTCATATTATTATGTTACTTACATTGTCGCAAAATATCACAATAAGAGAAAAAACCTAGAAAAAAAGCATCACAATTAATAAAGTGAGGGTATAATACAAAAACGTGTACACAGTGCGCAATGGTCACATCTACCGCGCGTCAGTGATGAATCCGATAATTTAATTGTGTGTACATTTATATTATCTATCTATTAGTTGTTCTAGGGTATAAAATTGGGCGATTGAATTTCGAAAAAAGTGTTGTTTCAATTTTGTTTTAATGTTAATGAAGTCATATAGATAATATAAAATATATTGCTCTCATGTTTTTACATGGATACATTCTAGGTTATGACGCACGAATGTTCTTATCTAATTTTTGGACTAAAATACAATATTCAGTTGAATATAGTCCTTATTTTGTATTTTTATATTACGCAATGTTTTTATTATACTGCCATCACTTTCTAGAGAATTCTCTTTAACATTCTAGAGATTTCAGACTGACTAGAAAAGAAACTGGGCATTAACAACTGCATAATTAAATTTAGGATAAAATCTGATTCCTCAAAGGTAATAGTACCGCAAAGTAACTCTCAATATTCAATAAGAACTGCTTTATATTTGAAGTATAGCACCTTACATACGGTATAAAACAGTTGTAGCGGTTATCTTAATTCCTCTACTAAAAGCCTATTGGTTTTATGTATGAGCTGACATGTGATAACTTCATCATCATCATCATCAGCCTATCGCAGTCCACTGCTGGACATAGGCCTCTCCCTTTGCACGCCACTTAGATCGATTTTGGGCTTCTCGCATCCAGCTCCTGCCAGCCATCTTGCGCAAATCGTCAGTCAATGAGAGAGTCTAAACTAGTATGATTATGAATTACTAAACGACTTACAAAAAGAAACAATTGATGTGATAACTAACTTCTACATTTTTTTCACAGACGGTCCATCAATAAGAATCAAACCTGTTGATGTGGAAAGTGAAGCAGGTTCGACAGCAACACTGTCATGCATCGTTGAAGGGCATCCTCTTCCGAAGATACAATGGATGCGGTATGAAAATAACAGATTTATTGTGAGTATGCTGCAGACTGCCGCGCCATTTGGAACTTTTAAGAAAATCTACTTTGAAATTAATATTAAATTGTGTCTAATTAGGTTTGAATTTAGCATCCATTATTCCTGCATTAACAGGTACTTGTTAATAAGACAAATAAAAAAAAATTGCAATATTTTTGCCTGTTGCCACGCACAGATCTCTCTAAATAAATCAAAATAATTTCATGAAAATTTATCAATGATAAATTTAAAGATACAAAGTAAATGTTAATTAGTCTAGATATATGGTAGGTATTTCTTAGATAAAATTTAAACGAAATTACTTTAGAAGTTAGATACGTCAGTTGGACCTTATTTCGAAAAGTCTTCACTTGAGTGTCAATATATGTAATTTTTTCGTTTATTATTAAAAGGACTTTGTCGCTGAGGGACTACATCGTCCTATATGGATAGCAAACAATACCACAACTATATCTTAAAACTACATCAGCGTATACTTAAGTGTTAATCAGATTGTTTTGTTAACCGCCCAACTTCTTCTGTTGTTGGATTATACAACATACCAACATCAAATAGCTAACATCTTATTTTAGCCTCTTATTTTGAAAACACGATGCTTTCAGATTCTCGTTCCGGACACATTCCATCAAAACATGTTGGACATCTTCTATTACACCGCATTCAAGGCAATTGGGTGATTGAATTTTCTCATAAAAAATGCAAATTTGAATGGAATGTGTCCCGAAAACCTTTTATAACGCAATTCTGAATATTTCAATGTCTTTGACTTTTCTACAGAATAAATTTTAATATAATGTAACAAAAAAGTACTTTAATGAAAATATGTACTCGTAAGTACGTACAGCAGTATAATAAGTTAAATAGAAGCAATTTTTATATTTTCATCTCAGTCTCTTGTAAATTCCAAACCCATTGTGATTCATATTTAGGTACCTATCTACATATATATGTAGTACTTCCCTTATATAGTATATATTATATTTTCCCATGTAGTACTTCTTAAATTTGGTTTCTGATCTACATGCTATGCGAACTATTGACCCATTTTTTTCTCATTATCATGGCTTTTACCAGCGAGTGGGTAAATCACCTAACCTGACGATCACCGTAACACCACAGTCTGCGGGGCAGTATTGGTGTAAAGCCAGCACTGAGAACAGACAGGCTGTCGAAGCTCCAGCAGTGGTTTATATAAAAGGTATGTAAGCCTTGTTAAGAAATAACTAAAATTGTATCATTGCATTTTTAAGATATTAATTGAAGTTAACACTTGCTACTAGTTTGTATTTAAAATCTATCTTCAAACATACCAAACTCAAAATAACATTTAACATTTGTTTTCCGTTTTTTTACCATCATCAAAAAATCCTTTTATTCCCTTTTATACATCTCATTGTAACACAGTTTAGGTTTATCTCTTCTTACAGTAATAATATAGTTAATAATATTTTTGACCAAATCGTGTTTCGAATTTAAACTTTAACATTACATTAAATTTCAAACTCTACACTAGACTAGTTTGGCTAGAAATACGATCAAATCAAATCAAACAAATTTATTTGCGTGAATAAGGTACAAAGTTCTTAAAAAATACAATCAGGAATCACAGCATATTCTGCCACAAGTGGCGTACAAAAGGCGTACGTAAGTTAAAAAAAACAGAAAAAGTGTTGATATAGGCAGTTTAATGAGCAGGAGAAGATCTATGGTTAGAGACTGTCATTTAAATAATCGTTAACATTATAATAACATTTTTCAGATAACATTTTTAAATTTCTTGTTAAAATCATTTATTTTTAATTTTCTGTATACATCCGGAAGTGTATTATATATTTTTGGTGGCAAAACAAAAAACACTTTTCCACATGCGAGCTGTGTTAGACCTACGTACACATACATTATTTTTTCGCCTATTGCGTTCAACAACGTCCGATAAGGTAGGAAACAAATGCGGATGCATCTTAACAAATAATGCGACTTAGAAAATTTATAGAGATGGAAGTGTTAGAATTTGGTGTCTCAGTTAAGTGTCAAAATTTGTTTTAAAAAAATCAGAAAACACTAAATGAATTTAGATATCGCTAGGTGTGACATTACTATTCGAGATGTGGTAACCCGCAGCTGTAGCAGAAAACTTATGGCACTAGCCTCGAAACTTGCAAGTGCTGCGTCGTTGCCGAGGTCATTTCAATTTCAGCGTCTTGTGAACTGGCCAACTTAGCAGTTTGTAACTTTAAGGTCTTAACTTTGCGCCCATACAGTTATAAGAAACTTTCGTTTTATGTAAATTGGATAGTGTTTGAAAGGTTTCGTATTCAAGTTGTTATTAACTTAAAAACCTATCTTTTGAAGAAGTCAAAGTGCTGAAAGTTAAAATTATCGAAAGCTCTTATAGACGGCACATGTTACTGAAGTTAAAAAGGAAAATATCTTTATTCTGTCTCTTAATACTAAACTTAATGTAAAATTTCGGTTAAATAAGTAGGTAGAAGTCCCTTTCCTAGCGATGTTTCCAATAAAGGGTTTAATTTACGCTGTCGTCACTATGTCTTCTTTAAGCAGAGTACAGCGTAAGTTCAGTTTCTTTCTTATAGATTTACAATATCTCGTACTTATGTCACTTTCACTCTATCGGTTTTTACCACAATTTACCTTGTAAAAAACGATTGTACTTTTAAACAAAGTTGGCATCAGGTACGGGGTCGTACACAGTTGAAATCAGTCAAAATCCTTTGCATTGCTACAGATTGCACTGGTCCTAAAAAGAACTCTACAGAGGGACAGGAATATGATGACGTATTGAAATATTCTGTAATAAGTGCAGTGGCACTATAAAAACTCTTCAGTCAATGCCATTGTTGCCATGTTACTAATATGTTTCTTAATAAACATTTTCAAAAATTATTTTCTCTGATTTTTCCTAATCTTTCTGAAGTCGTTATTAGATGAAATTATATTTAGAATGTTTTTTTAGGTCCTCCGAAAATAATGTCAAATCAAACACAATACGGCGTCGAAGGAGACAGCGTGAGAATAGAATGTGTATCATTTTCCGTCCCGAAACCTGACTACGTTATGTGGACTTTTGGCGGAAACGAAATCAACTCATTTCACAATCAGGTAATTTGGGTACCCCTGCCTTTGTATTTATTGAATAACAAAACATAATGATGTGTATGTCTTTATGATAAAATATTTTGTGATAATAATCGACTGTGGAAGTAATAAAGATATTAAGCTTAATACGACTACTAAGAGAGTATGATTTTGCTCAAGTTAACCGTATATGGTGGATACCTTTGCATTAATAAATACTAAGAATTTGTTAATGCTTATATCCTTTATTTACACACCAAATATATTAATAAAATATAATGGAGTAAAAGTTTGAAGCCTAAGGAACCTAATCTTAATCGGACTAATCTAATCTAATCGAAGACTACTCCTATAGGCATTTAGTTTTGTTTGGAGCTGTATATTTGTCTATATCAACCGTTAATTTATTAATCGGAAAAATCATAATTTCATCAAATCATCATCAGCATAAGCCTTTTGCCGTCCACGGCCTCCCCTTTTTTTTTCCATGAGGAATCGGTGGCATGTCGGACTCGAACCGACTAAAACCGCACGCCGTCTCGGGTACTAATAGCCGGGGAACCAGGTATACCCTAGAAAGGAAGTCCCTGGTGCCCCGACATACCTCGGGCCATCTACAGCAAGTAGACGATCCCCCCCGTGTGGGAACCCCATGTTCCCTCTGCTCCCTGGAAGCGAGCGCGCTTCGCAACGCGCTCGTCGCCACCCGGGCCTGCTTCTGCTAGGGTGACAGATGGCCTCACCTGTCACCCCCAGGCCTGCACTTATGGAGGACGGAGGTCGTTCTGCGACCTCCGGCGCCTGAGTCGCCTGCGGTACCTGGCCCGTTCCCGGGCCTGGCGGGCCGGGAGAATTCTAAACCTCTCCCGGTCCCGCTCCGACGTCTCCTTCGCGAGCATAACTTGCTCGCAGAAGGAGACGGCAGAGTTCCACGCACTCTCGCTCCGCACGATAGGCGCAATCAGGCTATCGAGCGAGAGAACTCCCACTCCGATGGCCGTCACGAGGTCTCGCCTCTGCTCAACCCACGCCGGGCACTCTGCCAGCGTGTGGTGAGCCGAGTCCACGGTCTGGCCATCGCAGTGGTGGCCCTCAGGCGTTGGCTCCTTGCGGATCAGACACAGGTGATCCCCGAAACATCCTTTCCCACTGTGGTGATCACCTGCGTCAGTCGGTATGAAAGGGTCCCGTGACGCCTCTCGAGCCAATCCTCCATAACGGGTCCACGGCTTCCCTTAAGGAGCGCCAAGCATAACTACAAAACATTAATTGTTGTTTGTTGTCTTATTTTAATACTTGTTGGTTTTTATAGATTACGCATGAGCTATTAAAAATGCACATTTTATTTTTTTCCATTTTATTCTTCCCTTTAAGTTACATTTCATATTTAATGCAACAGTAAAATGTTGTTTCCATTTTACAAGAAGTCGGAATATATCTATGTTTTTCTCTTATCCTCGTAAATTTGTATGCAAAACTTTTAGTTTAGAATGTTTGCTATCCCCAGCTTTAGATTTTACCGCTACATAAAAGTTCTGTTTTAGGAATATGCATTTTTAGAAGAAACCCACACTGACAGAATAACGAAATCGACCCTGGTCATACGAGCAAGTGAAGCAAAACATTTTGGCCATTATAACTGCACCGTCGTTAATTTTTATGGCATGGATAGTCTTGAAATAAACTTGGTTCCCGATCGTAAGTAAAAGTTGACATTAAACCTTAATTTGCAACATATTAGGAGCTTGATTGTATTTGAACCCAATTTTTTTATTAATGTTGATTTTCTTGGCATACCACTTCAACAATGCTTATGCTACCTTATTACGTTGCATCAGTTTTGATCAGAAATTGTATAGAGGTCGATCTGTATTTAAAAATAAATAGATTGAAATAAGACGTGTAACTTGCCAGTGTTTAAATTTAACTTCTATTAGCATTTTTATTTCATAAGATTACATACAAAAAAAATGTTTGGAATAAGTGTTTATAGCTTATCTATTCTGTCCTTATACTCGCAGTAGCTACGTTAGTTGTTATTTCTGTTTTTATAGTTTTTAGATATACATCTAATAACGTTATATTTATTGCAGAATCATTTCCATTGGTATCAATAATCGCCGGTGGATCGTGCTTGGCAATTTTCATCTTAGTTGTCATGTTGGTTATCATGCTTTGCCACCGTAGGACCAAAAAGACTGACGTAAAGAAGCCCGATGTCACAGAATTGGGCAAGAACTGCGTTGATCAGTTCAAGGAGTGTGACAGAAATTCTAGCATTAGTGATCTCAAGCTGGAACTTAGGCAGGTTGAAGACAGTCGTGATTTGGTAAGTAGAGTTTTAATTAATTGTATTGAACTTACGAATAATGCTTAACTTTTATGTACATTTAAAGAAACAAACACTACCTTATCGTAAGTGGTTAAGCACTATAATACTTACTTAATGGTACTTACGTGATGTGACTAAAGCAGCAAACGATTAACATAAATCATCTACAACATTTACAAGCTTTATTATAATATTGTCTAGGTAAAAATATTGTCTAGAGAATAATATTGTCAAGAAATATTATAATATTTTAATATTGTCTAATTATCTTAGCCATCTACGTAAAGGTAATAAAATTTGTAATTAAATTTATTTTTTAATTTAACAAGATAATAAAATGATATATATATATATGTGTGTATATGTGCATGCGTGTGTGTGTATTTATGAAGACGTAAGACTTAAAATAATGTAATTATGCAAGATTCAAATTACCTTATTATCCTATTTTAACTTGCAATAGCTTAACAATACAGACTCTCATCTAAGCGTAACCACCACCGCACAAAAATGAATCGCATGGCAAAGGCCATTCTGCCTTATCCACCAATGCTCATGGTTTGACCGAACCGTTTAGAAAAACGCAACATTGTACAGATAAATCAAAGTAAAATTAGATACTTAAACACCTGTCCCCAATCTGATGCTCATTTGTCAATTACATTTAATATTTTATAAATTTGTTATCTGTCCACACTATTTTAAATTTTCTTTAGATTGAATACATATGTAAGTAGTGACATTAACATAATTGTAATTTAACCCAAAACGAGGTTAAACTAGTTATATTTTGTTGTGTGTAAGTGTAGTAAAGTAAGTAAAGTATAAGTCTTAAATTTGGTTAAATCATTGTTATTCACTTGCAATATTTTTTAACAGGATCATTCTAATGCTGGATCTGAAACAGATCTACATCCCACTCTCCATCTAACTTCAAACCTGGGTTTACCTCTTGCTGGACCGGTACCTTTACCAGAAGTAGGGTATGATAACGAGCTGATGAAGCAATATCAGAGATATAGTGGAGATTTTAATCAGCCTATCAATAACCTGAACTTTAAGGTAAGCCAATTTAGTAATGTGTATACATTTGTGGTAGTGAGACCGTCTGAGAATCTGAAGTTGAAAATACCCAGATTTTCGCCATTCAATTTTTCTCAGTGAAGTGTGGTGTGCATTTTGAATTCGGTACTCACTTTTTATCAGGTGACCCGTCTGCTCATCCCCCTTCCCCCCAGTCACAAAAAAACTGACTTAATATTCTGTTTTAATGTGACAATATCTATTTCCGTAAAACAAATAATGACAAATAATTCTTGGTTTTCTAGTTTGCGATATAATTGTGACGCTGCGTCCTACTGCGCTGAGTGTTGTGGGTTCGATCCCCACATGGAACACCACTCTATGGCTTTATCGGAAAAAATTACCTACAATAGAGTCTTTGATCCACAAATTGTTTTCTGAGAGGATGATTTTTGTGTCCATTTCATGTATGTTTATTAAGTCCCACACGATACGGGAATTTATATAAACCTAATTGTCTTTTGTTTTATTCTCTTTTGAAATCATCTCCAATGGACACATCCTACCTCTCTAACACTGGCTATCACCTGGAACACTCCTTCATTGCTAGGGCTGGAGTCTGCGTGTATGTTAGAGATGATATCAGTTCTCGGCGCCTAGGCAATCTTGAAGGACGGGACCTCTCCATCTTGTGGCTCCGTGTAGACAGCGGCGACCATCGGATCATTGCCTAATACGGAGTACGGTGCCACTCATGTGCTCGCCATAGCCGCGAGTCGCATAACTCATTTGAATCTTCAATACTATAGACATATTTCTAAACTTTATATTTCTCACAGGCCTACAGTCAAAGCAACGGTTACGTTCCTTACGTGGACTACTCCAGAGACTACGCCCCTCCAGCTCCCTCTGACTCTTTGTCTGGATCTTTATCTAGAAGCACCGAGGCCTCCACATACCCTAGCCACTGCGATACATTGCACCGTCAAACCAGCTGTGGGAGACTAGGTGGAGTTGTTGGGCCTGATGGTGAGTGATGCTCACGTTTTATTTTTATGTTGCGTTATGATTCATTTATTAATAATAATAATATTTTCGGACATTGACATACAACGCCATCTAGTTTCAAACTAAGTAGAGCTTGCACTATGAAATTGACTGATAAAATACTTATTTAATATTTTCTAAATACATGGAATAAATGGATACAGGAAAAAAGACCACGACTTGCACCTATAATTCGTTTGTTAAATATTATATTTTCGTGTGCTGTTGTGTAAGAAAAGTAACTAAACCAATGTGCTGCTAAGAGTACGTTTACAATGTAGGTTATTAGCCCGTAAATGTTACTTCTAGCATCAAATAGAACAGATCACAGATAATAGTACAACCCTGATTACTTTTGCCTGGGCTCCATAATTCATTGTTCTGTGATACAGACCCTATTTTTATCTCAGGTCACGTTAACCGGAAAAAAGTAAGTTAAGCCAAAAAAAAATATGAAGACACTGACTTCATTTCAATCTGGTTGTTCATAATCTACAAAACCAGCTGTGGTTCTATTTGGGTGAACAGTGTTAGCCTGCAGAACACAACCAAAAAAATGATTTAATTTGAAAGAATACTTTCATCCCAATCTGGCTTAAAATAATGGCTTAGCTTAAATTAAAACAAGTTTTATTAAGGAGGAAATGCCTGAATCTTTTTTATTCGACGTGTTCCGGAGGCTTCCACTGCCCATCCCCTAATGGAAGCGTAGCTGACGTGCACGAGGTTCTATGATATAACTCTGTATCGTTCGAGAAAAAACAATTAACCAATTTTTACCCAGCCCCCGGACTTATATAACAATTCAAAATTCTTAACATTATCATTTCTACTCCTCAATCTCCACGGAGCGAAGAGCTTGGAATGTTCAACTTGACCACTAGATTAGCATTGTCTTACGAATTTTCGATCAGGGTCACGTGTCCTGACGCGAGTTTAACATTTTTTACCCATTACAAAAAAAGTGTACAACGCCGCTAAAGAAGTTTTCACTTCAATAATTCCAGTACATTGTGGACCCTGTAGGGCACGGCAAGGAATATGCTAGCGACACCTCAGGTCTTATTGTAATTCTTTAAAAAAATCTGTGGAAAAGCTCTCTCATTTTCTATCTAGATATCCAAATTTTAATTAAAGCCGCCTGGAGTTCTTTGTGTCAAAAGAACCTATGCATCAGCATTAAAAGAAGTGTCAGTGGTAAAAAGTAGACTAAAACACACAAAAAGACGCGCACCTGTCTTGTATAGTTCCCACATAAAGCTTGGAATTTGTAAAGAAATATAATAGTCTTACTTTTTTCGAAAACAACGGTTTTCTTTTAGACGCCTGTTAAAATTTCTTCGTATGTTTTGTTTATCACTTTAATCATTATGTTCCATTAAAGAAACGTTTATTTGCGAAGAACACTGGTGGTACCGGATTTAACAGTGGTGTATTTTTCAAGCTAAATTCTGCCTTAGGCATGCAAATATTTACATTGAAACACAAACATTTCTTTTAAAAAAAAAATTATTTTAAAAAAGACAACTCCCGCATTAGGAATATATCCCGTGCCGCGGGGACTTTACAAACATACATCAAACGGACACAAAGAACACCCAGACTCAGAACAACAATTTGTGAATGAATATATAGTATATATATTCATTCACAAATAGTTATATTATATTATATATATTATATATAGTTCTATTATCAATGCATTTCAACTCAACTCAACTCTCGTGGAAACGGGGCCAATATAATATACTTATATATTGAGGTGTCGGTAACGGTAACAGTGTCGTGAGTTCAATGGTTTTTCTCATCTCATAAAATACAAGTTTTCACTTCAAAAATACTTCTTCCGAAGCTCACACTGTATGAAATAAGTTTTTACCGGGAATGAAATATTTTGCGATGAATTTGTAGTTTTTGTTTACGTATAATTTTACATAAATTTGACTAAAGAGCAATAAATTGTTCCGACTCATGGTCTAGGAATATGCAGCTTCCTTTCTTATTTTAAACAAACTTTTGCCCGCGGCTCCGCCCTCGTGTATGTCGGTTATCACGGAACAAAGTAGCAACAATGTTATTTGTTGATGATGTAACTTTCCATTGATAAAATATGTATATATTTTTACATCGGTTTAGTGGTTTAGGCGTGAAATATCAGCAAACAAACAAACTCACTTTCACATTTATAATATAACTATGGAAGTATGGATATACATTTGTATAATAGCATTTTGTGAAAATGATTAAACGATTTATTTCTATTAACATAGGTACATTAAATTATTACCTTATCTTATTTGAAATACAGATGTTATTTATTTACTTAAGTTTAAAAGTAACAAATTTAACTGAGTACCATAACCTTACTCAAGTTAATAATCAAAATGTAGTTATTAGTACCAGCCTCTATTCTAACTAAAATTGACCCGTATGTAATGTAGGAATGGGATCACCGAACTGTCAACACACGTGACTACATGAATAATTGGAATATATACGTTGCATATTATTAAGTCTAGCATTTGGTCGAGGCTCCGCCCGCATGTTGTCGGATATCACGATAAAAAGCATATGCCCCTCACCACAACTCAAGCCATAGCATATCAAATTTCATGTACTCGTAAATCGGTTCAGTGGTTATTGATTCCCCATACAAACTTCCACCCCACTTTTCACCTTAAAGAATGATTTCAGGGATAAAAACTATCTATGTCCGTTCCCGGGACTCAAACTATCCAATATACCAAATTTCCTATAAATCGGTTCAGCGGTTTAAACGTGAAGAGGTAACAGACAGACAGATATATGGACAGACTCACTTTCACATTTATAATAATAGGAGTTAAACTATGAAATTGTCATTGTATAGTAATAAATACTTTGAATTGACATAAAACCATGGTTTAAGATTTTCGAGTGAAACTGTTTTCACATGATACCTATGAGGTTCTTCGTTTGAAAAATGTGTAACATTCGATTTTCGACTTTTAATTGTTTTTTTATTCATCTTTCACGTCTGACATGAAGGATGGATACTTCAAAAATCCGAGTTATTTTTGAGTACGAGTTCCGACGCGGAACTAAGGCGCCAGAAACGGCTCGCAATAACAACGCTGCGTTCGGAGAGGAGACTGCTAATGAACGCACCGTGCGTTTTTGGTAAAAACGCTTTCGTAATTAAAAGTTCGACGAACGAACCACGTGGAAGACCGCCTACACAGGTGCATAACGCTGAATTGAAGGAGATAGTGAAAGCTGATCCGAGGCAAACTACTCAGGAATTAGCGAAGTGGTTTAAAATTACCCTACCTACAATATTTATTCATTTGCATCAAATCAATAGGATATAAAAATATGAAAAATGGTTGCCTCATCAATCTGCAGAAGGAAATGCGTGTTGAAACTTGTGTTGCCTTGTTAAATCGGTACAAAAATGAAGGAATATTGGATCGAATTGTGACATGTGATGGAAAGTGGATTTACGATAACCGTAAAAAATGCTATGGCTGACCCCAGGTCAAACGCTGCAACAGTGCTCTAAAGCAAAGCTTACCGATAAAAAGATAATGGTAACTGTTTGGTGGTCTCTTCATGGTATTATTCACTATAGCTTTCTCAGGTCGGTTCGGGCAATAACAGCAGATGTTTACTGTGCCGTACTTCGAACAATGATGGCGAAACTGGCAGTGAAACAGCCCCGACTTGTGAATCGATCTTTACCATTATTGCTCCATGATAACGCAAGACTTCACACTGCACAAAAAAGCGTTGTAACTCTACAAGAGCTGCAGTTAGAAACCATACGTCTTCCTCCTACTCGCCAAATCTTGCTCCAACGGACTACCATTTTTTCGTGATTTGGTCAATTTTCTACTTGATAAAAAAATATTTCTTCCCAGAAGGCAATATAAAATGCTTTCATACAGTTTGTCGAATCTAGAACCCCAGACATCTATCGAAAAGGCATAAATGAACTTACGTACAGAAGGCAGCAATGTATAGATAATGAGGATAAATACTTTGATAAAATAAATTTGTTACCTCTTAGGAAAAACGAGTTTTAATTTTTCGGTACAAATCGGCAATTTCATACTTTAACCCCTAATATTAATATGGAATTCTCTGGTCATCTTTGATATCATATCATACTCTGGTTCAGGCGCTCTCATGATCATGGTTTACTTCAGGATTGTAGGTTGTTAGGCGCTGATGCAGCATCTCGAACAAAACAGGAGATTTCTTTTCAGGCTGTGGCCTTTTACCAGTATATCTACTCCTTTCACAATATTAGGCAGCCTTTTAGTTCATATAAAATTCATCATCATTAGCATCACCAGCCTTTAATAGTCTACTGCTGGACAGAGGCCTCTCCTTAGAACGGAGGATTTGGTCTTTGGTCTACTACTACTTTGGTCTGAACCGGCCCGACTAAAACCACACGGTGTGCCACACTGCGCCTGTAATAGGAGGGACCTTTTAATTAGACCTCCGGACCCCTCCTAGCGCCTGCCCGCAACGGCGAGGGCACCACCTTTGGATACATTCTCTATTTACTCGCGGCTGGCTGTTATGGCGGGTGGGGGGTAAAAAACCGTCCACACGCTGCCATACTCAGAGCGGTATGAGGCGCTGGTAAGCGCGCCTCAGACGCCCGGTTCGTCGGCGACGAATTGCGTGATGACTTCTTCGCAGAAGAATGTAAAACAACTATTACTATCGGCTATGGAGCATATGACGGCCATACCACGCTAGCTTGGTACAGGGTTTGTGATAAGTTCTCCTTCTCTTTGCAGTGCTGTTATCCTGCGTAGTTGGCCCTCTTACGACACCGACGGATCAAAATGTAATGCACGAAAGCTTCTTCATCTCAACAATGTTTAGCAGTTTATTAACTATTAATTAAGATTAAGAATCTTAATTAAGAAAGATTATCTTATCTTAATTAAGAAGATTAAGAATCTTAATTAATAACAAATTGTACTGAACTGTAGTTACAGTAAAAAATATCTCCGGATTTGAGGCTTTGATTAAAACTCAATTTAAATCAACCCCATAATTTATTAAAAACAAAAGTCTTGTCATTAAGAGTTATACAAACAAAAGAAATCAAAACAAAAGAAAAATAACATTACTTTTGAACACATTTAGTCGGAAATACTTTTGCGATCGGCCAAACTTTTAAGTAATCATTAAGATGATCTATAAATACATCCATGAACTTAGTCAATACTGCTGAGCGTAATTCTTTGTCTGTGAACCTCCAGTTTTCATTTATAAGCTTGTGGAATGCATCGGCTAAAATAATGCAAACAAATATTATTTACATACGCATTCATAAGATTGAGTTTAATTACAAGGTATAAAAAAAATCTTACAAAAGACTCGGAAAATAATCTAACTCTTCTCTTCATTTACATTGAATACGAGTATAAGTAGAACATGGTTTGGTTAATTAATTTAATATTTGAAAAACTATGTGCAAAATTAATCAATTTATATGCTTACATTTCTTTTTGTCACCACCATACAAGTTTGTAAAATTAAATTTCAAATTTTCCTTGGCATCAAAGTCAAGTTGGAAGTTTTTAATATGAGAGTAAACCATTTTGTCATCATGAACAATTTTCTCGCTGTTTCCGCGGAACTTGATTATGTAAAGTCCTGTAACAGAGTTAAAATTTATTAACATTTAAAATTTAAAATTATAAAAAAAAAACAGATAAATTTATATCTATATGTTATTATTGCCGCACGCATAATATTTTATGGGAAATCACATCACATCATCATCAACAGCTTTTAATAGTCCACTGCTGGACATAGGCCTCTCCTTAGAAAGGAGGTTTTGGCCTACTATACTATGGGAAATAGAAAATCAATATTTTATACATTTAAAAAATATTTCAAAATTATTATATTTCTCTTTGGATTTGTTTGCTACATCAAAGAGAATGGATATTATCAATAGGAAGTAAGCAAGACTTACCAGTTGTAACCGTTACATTACCCTCTCCTTCAACATAAGTATCACCGAAGCGACCTTTCAGTTTATATTGTCCATTTGCTTCTATTTTCTTACACTCCAAGTTGTATTCAAATGTTAATTCTTCCTTGTTTATTCTGAGTAATATATAAACAAGTTTTATTAAATCTAAATAATATTTCTGTAATTTCACTGAAAAAGTTGTATATCGCTTTGTTTACTACGGGCGTCATTTCTTACCTTAATTTCGTTACAGCACAGTCTTTCAATCCAGTGAGCTTTGCATTCTTAAGAATATATTCAAATCCAGGTAGATCTAGATGGATTATATCTACTTCTAGAGGGTCTGAAGATTTAACTGAATTTTCAATACCATTTATGAAAATTGCATGATTTTTCGATATGCAATTGGTGTAGTCTAATACAATTTTATGAGCTGCAAAAAAACCTTTTCTTAAATTTTATTTGGCAATAGTTTAGGACAAAAAATCATTTCCTTTGTAACAGCTTTTGATGCAACATGGAAATGTATAGGTTATGCGTAGACCTTAGTATGCTAACTCAAGGTATTTTTTGAGTGTCACCACCACTATTCACCCCGTAGGTGTCGTAATAGCCGACTAAAGGAGTAAACTAGGCAGGACAACAGAGAAGGAAACCTTGAAACAAACCCTATACCAACCCGTCTGGCCAGTCGTCTGGTATAGTAAACCAAAACCTCCTTTCTAAGGAGAGGCCTCTGTCCAGGAGTGGACTAGTAAAAGCTGTTGATGTACATATGCCAAAAAGACAAATAAGGTGATTTAAAATAATTTATTCCAGGATATAAATTTTAATATTCAATAAATTTTTTATGAGTGCGTTCATTTCTTTCGTTCATTTGGATATCCTGAAGAATCATTAGGCGTGTTAGTCAAGGGTGATTTTAATAATTTTTTGTTATTTAGTTTTAAATCCTATTTTTTTATTTATATATATATATATATATATATATATATATATATATTTATATTATTTTATTTACTAACTTCGGTGAGAAAAGTAAATACTATTGAATATGATCATCAATGGTATCATCGTAGTAATACATTTATAAGTTTTAGTATCAAATTAAATATGAATAATATAAACGTTCAGTAACGGTGATAATAATACATTAAATGAAAACTAAAAAAAGCCAAATAAAATTAAATGACATTTCTACACAAATCAAGTTATATGAGAATGGGTAGATTATTTTTCTTACCTATAACAGCATTGCCCAAAAGTATAAAGAACCCCAAACACAGAAATACGTCCATTTTCGTTAGAAGTATATTTGTGTATATTTAAAAGGAATTTTGAGCATCTATTTATACCTAAGACGTGTTAAATGGTTTAGAAAAAAACAACATAAGTAATTAAAACAATGTAATAAACTGTCTACGAATACGTCAAACGTAAAGAATACGTCATTTTGAGAATGCGTCACATCTCTGTTATCAAACAATTAAACTACATGAACATTTTATTGTTTTACACAATAGAAGTTACTTGGGCATAAAAATGTTCCCAGTGGATCTCAATATGCTAACCTAGTCTTGCTAACCTCACTTTCAATAACTAACAATATAAGAACTTCATAATAATAGTTTTCTGTGACGCTATGGTATTATTCCGATCGAGCCTGGCCCACGCCTGCCGAAGTATGACTCTCCCATGACAAAGATTTTAAATAACACATAAACCTATGTTTTTTTTTAATCTAAAAATTAATAATGAGGTCACATTTGCGTCATTTGTTCACAAGATGGTAATAATAATAATAGTATAATAATATACATGCAGTTATGTTTTCAAAAATAATTTTTTAGGATATTTTTTCAAAACTGAAAATGATTAGGGGAGAGAGGCACATTAAAAAAAGTTATTACGATAATGTACAAACCCTACAGTTTACCTTTATTGCATACATATAATTTGTAAGTTGCTTATTTTCTTGTTTATACGATAATAATTAAAAAAAAAAAACCAGTCAACATAGAATCACTTAAAATCACTGTCGTATACTATAATAACAAACCTTGCTGAAAAATGCTTGCTCTATAATTACGTTGTACCTCGAAACTTTTTCTGTATAAGAATATTACCAACTTACAAAATCGCTTTGCTTAAAAAAAAAGTGTTTTTTTTTTCTAGATTACAGCAGGAAAATAACCTACTTCATTTTTAGCTGTCTATATTTTAAATAAATCTAATAAAGTATTTATTTGATTTTGCCTTCAGTGATACCTCTATCAAGTCCTGGAGTTGTACTGACTGGTGAGGATGTGAGGTATGCTGCTACATATGGAAACCCCTATTTAAGAGGGAGTGCACCTGTCGGTGAGTCATTTAGTTAAATCATTGTATTCAGATAAGAAAGGTTTGATAAATCTGCTTTTATTAGCTAAAGTACTACAAATAATCTAGAATTAAATATCGTGCAAGATATCGCACCATACTTAATTTAATAAAATATTTAGAATGAGGTAAAATAAAAAGTACACTCAACATAATGTAAGCAGAATAAGCACACAATTTTTTTTTTTAAATTCAAACTGTATAACTTAATACATGATAACTTCTTTGGCTAATGATGACTTCTTGTCCACAGCTTATGTACCTCATATAAATGCTGCTAATTCAATTAGCAAGCCTGCACCTCCACCTTACTACTTAGTTCGAAATAATAGCGCACTTCCTCAAGGTACGTTTTTTAAATATTACACTTTGCATTAGAAACTAGCTCAATTTTTTTTCCAAATTTATCAAACTCTGCTCAGGAATAGTATTCATTATTAGCTCCAAGAGTATTCAGATTATTTTAATTACCAATTTTAGCAAATTTCACAAAAAAATAAATAAATTTGATAACAAATATTTTCTCTCTTTTACAAATAAAGTTAAGTATATTTTTTTGTGTTTAATTTTTTGCTCTTTATAGGTTTGGAATCTTACTATTATATTGTATGCATAATTTAAAATACGTTTTAAAATTAATTACTTGTTACACAAACTACTTACTACACACGGCTCGAAGTCCGCGTGAGACTTGGAATTAAACTAGTTGATTATTTTATTTGTTTTATCGAAATGATTTAAATATAAAAAAAAAAATCATATATAAAGCTTTTGAAGAATCCTGAGTCGAATATCTAGCCATGTTCTTATGTCAACGTGACTATATTGTGCATAATTATTGTTTTTGTTTAGTGCCGTCTATTACTTCACCGTCATCATCATCATCATCACGGCCCGTTACAAGTCCAATGGCATCATCTTCGTCGACTAATAGTGGTGCACAACCTCAAGTATGTGGAAATTCTGGATATTACAAATAGCTGTACTTTTTTATATACTAAACATCCGATAGTCTAAAATTTAACATTCATCCTTCAATTTATATGGAGTATCACGGGCTCTAAAAGAGCTACTTCTTAGCCTTTAGTCTAAAATCATCATGGCGGTTTTTTTGAGAGAAACGGTACCAGATCCCGACTAAGATTTACTTTTATTTAGCCTCGTCGTGCTTTTTTTAATATGAGAAGTTCTCCAGGAATTCTCTGGACTAAACGCATATTGATATGAGTTGACACTCTAATATATTTGGTGTATATATTTACTAGGTGGCTGGATTCTTAAGAAGGGAGGGATGGTTGGATTTACTATTTAGAAACAGGGAGGTGTTTCCTCAATTATTCTGGTTCTTAACTGCAGTTTTGCGGAGACTATTATTTTTCGATTGACCAGAAGACAAATTTACTTGAGTATTACGTTTTTACTCGGATCTTTTTCTCCACAGAATACTTAGTGACGGTTCTTTTTCTATCTCACAGGTGCCTAAACCGTCTATGCAGTCTTCAGGCGCCCTGTATATACTTCCACCGTCCAGTCAAGGTAGCTTGCAGTCAAATCAAATAACTACTAAAGGTATGTAATACGTTATACTTACTTTCGTCTTACATTTCTAACTTTTTCTTAAAGCTGTTTCTTTTGTTCCTACCTATTTATGTAAAAGAACCTTCAACAGGAAACTAAAATCGGGTCTTGGAAATTAGTTTATTCCATTAGGTTTGATAGGATAGTGCCCATTTAATTAATGTTTGTAAAGTCGCCCGCGGCACAGGATATGTTCCTAATGCGGGAGTTGTTTTAAAAAAAAAAAGAAAAGAATGCAGTTCTTATAAATACATAACATCTTACTGTAGATAAATAAAAATACAGATATAATTATTTCTTGTATTAACAAAACAATGTTATTTGATATGTGATCCATATTTTTGTTTTTCAACGAATATTTCCATAAATTATTAATAAAAGTAGTCTTCGTTTTATATATATCTTTTTTCCTCAGACAAAAATTTAATTGTTTCAAAATGAGCTATCAAGAAGCGATCTTTAAAACGACGACAGGTACGAACGTCATTAGAAACAATTATTATGTTTTCAAGGACTATTCGTTACTACAACGATGACGCACTAAATAATCTATAATACAGACAGTAGTTGTAAGATTGCTTTGAACAATAGGCAATTATGCTACCAATCTACCTTTCGCTGTTAAAAACAGTGGCGGATAAGTTGTTTTTCATTCTAATTCGATCTGGAAACTGAGAAAGATATTTTTTTTAATACTGGTTTAAGCTTACCATAATATCTTTAACTTTCGTACACGACAAGTAAAATTATTACTTCTGCTTTTGAAAAATCGTTTTTTTTTGTAAAGTGTAATATCTATGAGTTACTCGCCGTATGTTATAGAAAATTGGATCTCATCAATTAAAAGACGAAACTACTAAACTTTAGAGCCTTTACGTAGGATTTATCCAATTAGGTACATTCATACCATTTGGTTTGATAGTGCGCTAGGCTAAAACCACTGGTTCTTCATTAGTTTCGATGATCAGCATAGATCCGCCACACTCTTGATATTTGTAAATAGACCATAAGCCCGTAGGTCAAGTTTGTAGACAGAAGTGTTCTATTTCGAGTTTGGTGAAGCTTAATAGTCAGCTTTGCTATTGGCAGAAAGAATATTCTACGAATTTTTTAGCTAAATTTAGCTAGGTGGTAAAGGTTAAGTCTCACTAAAAAGATGTGAATGTCATAGACTTACATTATTAATGTTTTTTTTTACAGGTAATGCTCAGCAGACTGCCGGTACACACGTATAAACTACGACAATTAGTTAGAAAATACATAAAATGTTAAATATAATCCGATTTTGACATTAAATATGTAAGTTTGGTTAACAAAAAAATGTCCTTGCGTCTAAGACGATTTGTAAAATGTTCATGTGTTAGTTTTATGTACTAATGTCGGCAAAAGTTAAGAATAATATTTTTTAAATTAGCTCCAAGTTATTTAGTACTCAGATAAAAACTACTGAGTGGGATAACCTAGTTTTGAGCCCGACGGTGACGGGGGCTATGGGTAATGTCGATCAAGTTTGATTTATTTAGTTTATTATACGAGTATTTACGATTGACATTCATATTTCTTATTAAATGTTGCAATTTACTAGTTAGAATAAAATATGTACTTGCTACCCAGGAGAATTCTTTTAAGTTTAGTATGGACAAATCGAAATCGAGAAATCTCATTCATTGGTAATATTAAAGGAAAAAGTTTTAGGTTATGGTTATACTATTGCCATTTATGAAAAATATAATTCAAAAAGACATGGATCTATTAAAAATTTCGCTAACTACAATTTAGTCTGACTTAAACTATAGCGGAAAAGATTTTTATTTGTACTATATATTTAACCAGGTATAGTTTGAGGCATGGTACTGGTATGTACAGTTTTACCTTGTATTAGGATACTACGCGAATATTTCAATGTTTTAATAGTTGTAGATACTTTGGCCGGCATCAGTGCAAAAGTTATAAAAAGTATAAAAATGTCCTTTAGTATACTTTTCACGGCTTTAATTATCTTCGTCGAAAGTTTGACAAACGAGCCTAAAATTTAAAAGCTTTAAGTGTTCATGTCAAAGAAAAACTAAGTTTAAGCTACATTGTATCCATTTTAAGTTAGATTAAAGATGTTATGACTTAGTAGTACTTTTGTAGTCTATTGTGTATTAACATATTTTTTTAAACTGTATTCTTGTATTACGTTGAATAAATTTCTTAAAAGTTTTACTAAATAACTTTTTATAATCATGTCAATTAAGTCGTCAATGTATTAATTTTATTTTAAACATATTATTGTAAACCACGAAAGATTCATTTTAAGAAAAATATTATCATTTTAAGATAAGATATAATCATACTTCATTGTAATATTTCTAATCGATTAAGTAATTTAAAAACTTCAGAAATAGCTTCTGACTGAGACTGAAAATAATTTTAGATTAAAATTTGAGTTAGCAACTTTGTAAATAAGAATTATGTCATTCTAAATGTAATCTTTTAACTTGTATTTGCGCTTATTTTGTATATGAAACTAATCCATGCTATTTGCCTTATTTATTTATTTTATCTTTTAATACAGTCTGTTAAGAAAGTTTATTATTTCTTTGTTTAATAACCATACGCATTTAAAATATTCATACGGCATTTCACATATTTTAATTAAATGATTTTACAATCCAAAGTATTATAATATAGTTTAGTCTATTTAATTGAACTGTATTTTAAATTAGTTGTAATAATTTACTTTAAGAATATGTACTGTTAGGTAAACTTTTCGACTCGGTTACTATTAAAACAAAGTTAAATAAAAAGATTTCATTAATCAAGTTGTTTTATTTTCATAACCTTTAATTGGCTAGCGACATTGAAAATAAGTGCAGCTCAGAGATACAGACATAGTCAGAAATGGTTTTTCTGTTTTCTACCTTAACACTAAGTATTTGGTAAAACCTATTTTGCACGTATTCCTAAACTCTTTTTAGGTAAGTTTGTAAATATTTTCATACAAAACGATACAATCTTTCACCATGGAATTTATTCTCCTGTCAAAGAAAAATGTTTTTGCTATTATAATATTTGCTGTTATAATTTTGATAGGCGATGCAAACCCTTCAAAAGTTCTAACAGGCTAGTAATAATAAGGTAGGTAGGTATAAGACATACTTATAGATATATGTGCTGTATGAAGTAATATAAAATAATTTTTATAGTAATAAACTTTTCTTTTTATTCAGCAGTCAGAAGTTTCATTCTTCTCCTAACGCATACCCTTATAGGGCCACTAACAGTTTAAAACTGCTATTTTGCAGCTATGCTTTTACTTGAAGTTCAAGATACGCGCCTGTTTAGGGCTGAATGTAGTCACACAAGGGGGTCATCTACAAGCGTAGATGGCTGAGGTCTCTTTATGTTAATATTTTACAGCCCAATACTTAGGACGCACATATGCTGCAGAGTCATAGCCCTCTTTATGATGTATCAAAAATGTCGTCAGACCTTTTCTCTTACTGCGGAAGGAAGGTCCCTTACCTTTTAAAAATTCATCGCATATTCCACTTCTAATTCCATTCTGAGGATAAGAACTATTAGAATTGTTGGTTGAATAACATGTTGTCCTCATGTACTCTCAGAATGGCTGTCAAAAATTTACATAATATTGGAAGATAGGTTATAGGTCCGTACTTCTTGGGATCCGTAACATCATCAGATTTATACAGCAAGTGAGTAACGCCGGTGCCGTGATTGCCATAAAAAACTATAACCGATTGCAACAATAATAGAAATCGATATGACCAAAGTTCATCATGAAAAGATAACATGACGGTTTCATTTAATTAAAAGTTGTACAGTGATTCCAGTACCACTGATTTTAAATTACGGCAGTATATAGCTGCCGGCAGGCTCGGCAGGCTGTATTGTTGTTTGATTTTGATACTGGTTCCACTGTATTAGTTGACTCACATGATCATTCGACATCTCGCATCTATTCACCTTCTGTATGAATTACATGCGTTGACTGGATGTTACGCCGAATTTTATTGGTGATTTCAATATCATGCATGTGTATCCATATCACTGGCTCATCTCTCATCCCTCATTATTCTGAGTGTACCGGTCCTCCTTCTTTTTGACCTTTGCATCAAAATCGTTTATACATATTTTCTTTTTTTTTTCTTTTTTTTTTTGACGACCGAATGGCGTAGTGGTTTGTGTAACGGACTGCTATTCCAAAGGTTGCGGGTTCGATTCCCGCTCAACTCAAACATTTGTGTGCATGAACATTTAATGTTTGATTTGGTCTGGGTGTTTCTATGTATAATAAGTATGTATTTACAAAAAAAAGTATATATGTATTTATATCAGTTGTCTAGTACCCATAGTAATTATTATTATTATTTATATTCCTTGTTATTCAAAAAGTCACTGCATTCTGATATTAATTTCTACTAGTATTATAAATTAAACCTTACAGTAACAATTAATGTTGTTTGGTATTACGTAACTTACAAATAGATAGTTTGCCTAGAAGTGTGTAAGTGATTGTACGAACCGATTTAGTACCACCTGATCCAACTGGGAATCATTGACAACGTTAGATTTGGTACTACAGCTAACACGTCATATACTCGTATAAAAATATATTTGCGCAGGTATACGCATATTAAAAAAACATTCATTGGCTCATGTCTACAAGGGTCTAAACTCTATAAAGGGTCAGTTGTACGTTGCATGCATCGAATCTCGAGATCGGCAAACAATACCATTTACTTTATCTACGAAAGGAAGGAATAAAACACTGAACACAAAAATACGATCACAAAGCATTGCCATAAACTTTAGTCGAAATTATGTATTTGTTATATAATTTAATGGTACTATTATGGTCGTACTAGAGAGTGAAGATTTGGTTTTATATCCTATTTTAATTACCAGTGCAAAGTCGGGGCGGGTAGTTAGTATATTGTAAATTTCAAAAGTAGTTTGGATATTTATAAATTTTTACTTCCTAGAGCTTAAAAGCTTATTTTAATTATTCAAACTCGTAAACTGTCATGGTAGATGATATTTTAATAGTAGTATTTTAATACTAGTAAGTAACTAGTTGACCCGGCAAACGTTGTTTTGCCATATACGTTATTGTTGTATGTATTTTTCAATGCTAAATCTAAAAAGTCTAAAAATCTAAAAAAACTTAGGGGTATGAAAAATAGATGTTGACCGATTCTCAGACCTACCGGATATGTACCCAAAATTTCATAAAAATCGGTCCAGTTGTTTCGGAGGAGTTTTACATATTTTACATATTTTCATTATAGTCTTCATTTATTTGAACGGAAAGTAATATGCTCAAAGCATTAGATAGGTACCTCAGAATTACCTGATGTTTCAATCACATTGCACTGGTCGCGGTTTAATAGTATATTCTTGGTGGTCCTATTGAGATCTGTTTTTAGTATTTCGTTGTTACTACGAGTACTTGATTAAAATTATAAATAAACACACAAGGTCACCGCAGCAACATAATTTATTAATTTTAAAAAAGGACAAAAGTTGTGTGTCTGTCAGTATCCTATCTGCCCATTTCTAAATAACTGAACCTTGTAAGACAAATACGAGCAAAAATAGCATGGAGCTTACAGACAAGATGACCTCAATAATTCTGACACCATTTTGGGAGAGCTTTTAAAAAGTCATTAAGAATTTCAAAAAAAACGTCCATGAAACCATTGGCATACAAAGTTTTTTTATATAGACGCCCAGTTATATCTCATAATCGTTCAGTGTATCGGCAAAAATTAAAAAGTAATTCTGTTAATTTTATATCCTCTAGGTGATATTTAAGTTTCGGTAACATTGCAGTGACATAGTCTATTGATAATGGGTCTGAGGTTTTCACTGTATTTTTAAAACCTGCTATAAAAGTACACGACTTTCGGATTTACATTTGTTGTAGTCTACAATTTTTTGTTCATGCACTGAATCGGGTGTAACAACGATGATTTAGTTTTTAATACGCACAATAAATCTTTGAAGACGTATTTCGGATATTTAAAGAAGCACTAATGTGGTTAATGTGGACTTGATTCATTATTATGCGAATGTGTTTGTTAGATCCTCCTGCTTTCAACCAATCAACACACTGACGCATTTAAAATGTTACGTACCGCAAAAAATAGAAATGAAAGGGCTAAATAGTCGTAAAATACAATTTGTCAAATATATTATAGTAAAACCTAAAAACTCTAATGCCTTC